CGCCTGCGTGTTGGTTCCGGTCTTCCCGTTGGTTTCGTTGTTTGGCTCCTTGCCTGCATTTTTCGACGAATGTGCCAATATAACCATTCATTGTGAAAAGTTTCCGCAGATACTTGACTTCGGCCTTCTTGTCGGCTGGTTCACTGCAGTGGGTTTCTACGCGGCAATATAGAGTTCGCACGCAGCTGCGTTTGTGCATGGCGGGATGGTTGCTGAGGTAACTCAGAATACGTGAGGTATTTGCTGCCTTTCTGTAAACAGTTGTTTTGATTTCCCCACCGCCTTTCTGCACACCAGCACGTCAAGGAACGGCAACTGGCAGTCTTTTTATTTCTCAATCGTGAACTGGATGTCAGGGAAGATGGAGGTCAGATTCTCCATTAAATCTCCAATCCTGTCCCGACTGATGATGACAAACGTGACATCAACATACCGAATCCACAGTCGCGGTCGATAGTGGACGAAAGCCAGTGCCTCTAGTCGTTGTAATACTGCCTTGGCAATCAGGCCGGACAACAGCGACCCCATTAGTGTACCTTTTACCTGCTCGTTTTCAGTTCCATTGAAGGTGAAAAAGGTGATCAGGCAGTGTTTCAGGAGTCCAATAAGATGACTTATTTTGAGCTTCGTATCCGCCTCAGTGTACTGTTCTTCTAACAGGGTTTGAATTTTTTCTACTGCAAGATGTTGTGGTATCGAAGTGAAAAGTGAGGTTATAGGGGTTAAGGCTAAGACGGTGAACCCTAACAGCTGCAATCATTTAGGCCCTGGTTCCTTAGGAGGTAGGAGAAGTCTTGGAAGGCAGAGTAAACGGAACATTATATTGTTTACAGAGTTAAGGAGAAGTCGCCAATTGGTCTTGCAAGGCGTCCGATCGTGAGGCCGGCGTCGTCGTGACCACCGCGCGCGAGGCGCAATTCCCAGTGTCTTCTGACCGCAGTCATCCAGGATGGCCGGCGAATACTGGCTTTGTCTCGGTAGACTGGTGGTGATTGGTTGCAAGACGGGCAAGGTTGGCAAGGCGAGACTGGGTGTGTTCCTAAGTGGCTCAGACCATTGAGCGAGAACAGACAGGGGTTGTCGGGACTTAGCACCTGACCGCAGGCGGCATTAGGTGAGCAGAGCAAACGCATTGTCCGTCAGATCTTGGGTTCCAAGTGGCTGCTAGGGCCACTACAAGGTCGCATCGAAGGATACCATCACTTCGTCATGTGTTAGTCGAATGCCCTGCAGCTTTTGTATACATTGTTCAGCTGACTTAACGGTCGTTGCAGAGCCCTCTGTTAGAAATTTGAGGCGTTGAAACGGCCACTTGGCCAAGCCAAACGTTGGGGTGCCTCTGAGGGAAACGATTGGTCGTAGGGCTGTTCCTGGTTTGTGGACCTTGGGGAGGCCATAGAACTATATTTGAATTTATAAGGGCAGTTAAAATCAATGAGTGGCAACAGTAGCTTATGTCGTCCACCTCAGCAATCCCTAATCCTAGCCTGTTGTCCTGCGAAAACGGTGGTTATATGGAGAATTAAAATACGCACTGGAATATATTTAAATAACTGCTATGTGCATTTTATTGCACTGTATTTAAAAGTATTGTTGATTTTTAGGCGGTTGATTTTCCTAATCTCCATTATCGTTTAACGTATTGTGGAGAAACCCGCTTATCAAATTGCAGGTTTCTTGAAATTTCCGAAAAATAGAAATGGTGGTTATGAGGTCTTCTACTTCAACTTACCTGAGGTCCAACTTACCGTTCCGGGGTTAGACTGGTATAATCCGCAGTGCAAAGCGCCGCCCACCCCCTCAATTTACCTGCGGAACAACCGACTCCTAGCGACCGCGAGAAACAACTTTGACTACATTTTTTCACTTTACGCTTCTAAAAATTTTCTTCTCTGCCTATCCTTTATCCCCACTCCCCCAAAACCCTTTAACCACCGTTTCCGTCGGACAAAATGCTGGGACTCTGGTATATGAGGGGGACTACATAAGCTACCTTTGCCCAACGAGTTAATGCATACTACCTAAGTAGTTATTTTTTACAGAAGATAATTATTGTAAGTTGTCAGGAAGACGCCTTTTAAGAATCTGGCATTCCGTCGTGACCGAATTTACTTGAGGATAGGCTGTACAATAATCAGTATTACAACCCTATTTAATACCGTTTTGCGAGCAATTGTCAATCGTTGGCAAGTTTCGCGATTTCACAAGAAATATCCGTCGTACGGTATTTCCTTTTTCAGAGCATAGTATCGTCTCTGTCCGTTAAATAACGATTCTTTTCAAGTAGACAACTCACCCACTCCACATTGTAAACCGTAATTGGCACCAGGTGTTGTACTAATGACGTCTTCGAGAAATGAATTACTTCCCTGATGAAAAGTGTACAATTTTTACATTGAAAGCCGTCGGTGCTGACGAATTGACAAATGAAAACCAACATTAGTCTGGAACTCGATATTTTAAAAAAACCAAAAGTGTGTTCTACCAAAAGCAGAACATCTGAAGAAGGTGAAATCTATTAAACTTTGAAAGTGTAATTTTTTAATAAAATATGTGTCTTGCTTTACAACCGGTGTCTTACTCAAGAGATGCAATTAAGAATTCATATTTTATGTCACAAACTGTATGTGTCGATACGTACATATATGTTACACTTCAGGCCTTACAAATGCGCAAAGAAACAATTAAGTGTTTCAAAACCTTGCAAAAACTCTAACGCAGCAACTTCCAGTGTGGAATTGATGTGCATTGGGTCCTAAATTTCACAAAAATATTATCGTACTGAAAGGTTATCCGCCTCCGCATTGCTACACGTTTGGTCCCTTAAGGAAATTGTGGTTCTCGAAAAGAAGGCATAGTTCGTTTTACAATGCAAATTTGACAATATTTTTACCAGGTATCAGAAGCAGGAACCGACAATTATTTCTTTGTTGGTGCCCTTTTGCGTACACCACACTAGTATTTATATTAAAATATGTCTTATCTAATTTATTGGTCACTAGTATTATAATACACAGTAAGCAAGGCGTACTTGCCTAGAAGGATCGTCAAATGCTTTGTTACAGTATTAAATTATTCTAGTGGCTTTTTCTCTCTAATACAGTAGGTGGTTTAACTCATTAAATCCAAGAATTTTTGGAGTATCGCCCTGTTACTCAAACGCAGTCCAAGCTGCGGCCCCCATCACCTTACAGCAATGAAATAATGGTCGTTCTTCACAATAGGGTATATTGCGATATACGAAGAAATATAATTTTTTTAGAAATGGCAGCTTTTTAGGAAAGTGGCCAATTCCGAATAAGAGCAAATCGGACTTACTATGTAAACTTAAGTTTAACATGTAGAGGAAGGCTGCTGATGCAAAACCACCGAGTGAATAAAACAGCACTAGCAAAGTGACGTTGGATAATAATCCTTTTTAAAATTGTTAAATACGTATGCTTCCATCTTACGTGCATGAAATGTATGACTATTACCGAACAGCCCAAATTTCGAATATGTATTCCGACACATTTTCATGAGAATTGTTAATTGTTTCTTCCGTTTATGCATTGCTTGAGTTACGTTGGACTAAGGCAACAACACTTTCGCCTGATTTTGCCCATTGGGAGGTTACAGGTGGAAGATATTTCGTAAGCTCACGTGCGGGCATGCCGGTCAGTGACTAATACGTTTAAATGGAATTGTCAGGTGCAATAGTAAAAGTACCATTTTTGTGCAGTAGGGGAAATCACCTTCCCTCACATTACTTTTAAATTATTTTGGGATTTCGATTACGAAGAGGTGCAGATCTTCCTTGAAATGGTAAGTATCAGTTTATGATTTTCACTGGCTTCAGTCGACTGACCATAAATAATAATTATATTCTACATGCTTACCAAAACCTTCAAAAAATGTTTAATAAAAGCATTTACTTAAATAACGAGCTTTTAACCATTCTTTATTATGCAACTGTCTGGTTAAGTCATGGTTTCAGAATCACCCAAACATGTAAACTCATTACCGGGAAGTCGTAAATAAATGTCTAAGATTGATTTGAAAAAAATTGTGCAACAAGTTACGTCTTAAAAAAGTGTTTTAGTTATATATTTTGTTTTCGAATATCTGCATACTTTATTTTTTAAGATTAAGTCAGGATCAGAGTGGGAAAATTTGACCAGTTCATTTACTCCCCTAAAATAGAGAATACATTTTCTGTTATAATTGAAAGAGCTAACTTTTCTATGTAAACCGGAGCAGTTTTTAATATTTTTGTTTAAGTCTACTCTCAGTTCTAAGATAACAAAAGCAGAGCAGAGTGGCAGAATATCAATGACGATTTTGTGAAAAATAGTAATCTTCTGCCCGTTCTGTTTCAAGTTTTCCTATAAATCGATACTACTGTATAGATAAAAAATATATCGTGTTCATCATTCCTAGAAGAGAGAGAAGAAGAGGGGAATTGCTGGGACCAAAGTGTATTTTTGCTGACATTTCGAAAACATGCTCGTTCTTATCGTCAGAGCGTGTTGCTTACTCTTTCGCCGGCCTTAAACTTATGCGCCTCGCCGCATGTTGTACCCATGTCCGATGCACGTGCATTCGTTCGCCCGTTGGCTATTGATCGGCGCCATCCTCTCCACCGTCATTGGCGCTGCGTCAGCGCACTCCTCTGCCATCCCCTCGTTCAGTGGC